AAAGAAATGTACTTTTATTTCTCAAAATATCTCCTATGGTAGTATAAGAACTTAACTTTTACGTAGAGGTAGATATTTGTTGAAAACTTAACACAATTAGATTGATAGAAAACATAATTGATTTACTTTCAAAGTAATTGTGGTGCATACCATCTTTTAAGAATGTTTTAATTGTAATTATAATATTTAATCTTGCAGTTGACAAGTTATAACCAAATAAACCAGCTTATTAGATTATATTTGTTTAATAATACTAAGTTAACAATACTAACTTATAAATTAGCTCATAATTAATAGGTTAATCTCTAGTTAATAAGTTAGTTACTAGCANAAAAACCCTAACCTTCTGCCAATAATTTGTATCCATCCGTTGGTCTCTAATTAAAATTTGCGTCATTTTGAATTTTAATTTAAATGTTTGTTATCGTTGTGGATTTTGTTTTTTATAATTTTTCAAATATAATGCCAAATGATATTGATTGTAAACTTCAATTTTCATTTTTAGTTTCCTTACAAGCTTAAAGAAATGTACTTTTATTTCTCAAAATATCTCCTATGGTAGTATAAGAACTTAACTTTTACGTAGAGGTAGATATTTGTTGAAAACTTAACACAATTAGATTGATAGAAAACATAATTGATTTACTTTCAAAGTAATTGTGGTGCATACCATCTTTTAAGAATGTTTTAATTGTAATTATAATATTTAATCTTGCAGTTGACAAGTTATAACCAAATAAACCAGCTTATTAGATTATATTTGTTTAATAATACTAAGTTAACAATACTAACTTATAAATTAGCTCATAATTAATAGGTTAATCTCTAGTTAATAAGTTAGTTACTAGCATATAAATTAGTCATTAGTAAGTTTTTAACTTATAATTTTTAAACTAATAAGTTAATTTATTGGATAGAAGTGTTTGATTTATTAATTAATAAATCAGTTGATAAATATAAAACAACGTAAAGATACATTATATAAATTTTATTACATTAATGAAATTGTTGACTTTAAACAAAGATATATTATTGATTAATTATAATTTTAATTTTTAACTCATTTTTCTAAAGTTGTATATGTTTTTTCATTTGTAAAAGTCATGTTATTAAATAAGTTTATCTAATATGTATTAATCAAGTTAATATTTTATTTACTGTTTTTTTTTTCATTTTAACTACTATTACATCAATTTTTATAATTTTTATTTGTATATAATGAAACATTTATTATTTGAATTTATAAGTTTTTTTTTTATAATTTGAACCACAATCAATTAAAAACCAATCCAACAAATATTAAAAACAGATCAATAATTGATTATCTCCATAGTTGGTAAAAAGAAATAAAGATAATAATAAATTTAATAAAATGGTATAAAGGATACTATTTGAAGAAAATTAAATAAACTACTTTGAAATACTACCTAAGTAATGTTAATCATAACTTATAAATTAATTAAATAAGATAGGAATTAACTTTTTGGTCCCACCCAATACACTCTTACAATAAAATTAATTTTCTAAGACATCAAAGTGGATAGAATGTTATAGTCTTTATCATCATTAAATCATTCCTAGCTTGGATTTAGAAAGGATAATGATATTTTGACAACATTTTTTTGACAACATTTTAATATCATCTACGTGTCATTATGTGATTGGTCCATATTAGTGTTTATGATTATTATTATTGATGGTGGAGTAATTTTGGACCAATCACATAATGACACGTAGATGATGTTAAAATGTTGTCAAAAAAATATTGTCAAAATATCATTATCAGTTGCATATAACATTTTTCCTCAAAATCAGACTTAAAAACGCCGAAATATATGTTGACAAGACCCGAGATAAATTTAAGATACCTAACAAAGTTAAATGTAGGTTTAATAGCCAATTTAGTCCTCACTTTGGTTGAAAAATCTCAATTTAGTCCCTCGTTATAAAAGTGTTTTGAATTAGTCCTAACTTTTAAAATAGTGGGTCACATTGGTCCTTTCTGTTAAATATAAGTTAACAAAATTAATGGATGATGATGTGACACAACTTAAAGCTAACGAGGGACCAATCTAACACATCAGCTTTAAGCTGTGTCACATCATCATCCATTAATTTCGTTAACTTATATTTAACGAAAGGGACCAATCTGACCCACTATTTTAAAAGTTAGGACTAATGTAAAACACTTTTATAACGAGGGACTAAATTGAGATTTTTCAACCAAAGTGGGGACTAAATTGGCTATTAAACCTTAAATGTACGAGGTTTCACACATTAATAAAATAATTTGAATTGACGAAGAAAGATGATAACAAATTTATAAAAAAATATTTTTTAAAGCTAATGGAAGCTATGAATAAAATGTGGTTTCTAGACAAGACAACTTACACATCACTATAGAAAAATATTTTGATTTACTTATCAGATGGTTGTAGAAAAAAAAATTTGATATCGATACCTAAAAGGTTTGAAGTCAAGATCTTGGCTATTGGGTTTGAAGTCAAGATCTTGGCTATTGAAAAGTCTAGTAGTTTACAAACTCTCACAATTACAGAGCTAACAAGCAAACTTCAAGCACAAGAAAATAGGAAGTGACGAAGTTATAGAAAGTATATCCAAATAAAACACATTATTAGACATTTTCAACATCAACATTCAAGCAATAACAACAAAGGAATCTTGAGGTTCTTCAAGAAAAGAAAATATTTTATCCTTGTTTTCGTTGCAAGAGAGCCAACTGTGATAAAAAGATTGTTGGTACAAAGCTAAATGTCCTTTTTGAATGTAACTATTATTATAAACTTTGATCACAATGAACAATATTGCAATTGAGGAGAAAGAAGTGAGAGTAACTGGAACAACCTACAAAACTTTACTTATTGACATTGGCGGCACTGCACCAATCACACGACCAAAGAGGGAAAAGAAATTCTATATCACCCAAGAAAGGAATGATAAATGCCAAAGATTCTTTACTTTCAAGATTCAAGAACTAGACAGAAACTTTTCAGTGTTGCATGAAATACTGATCAAATACGATAAATGGATATCCAATTTCTTAAATAAGACAGAAACTAGACATAAATGGATATCCAATTTGTTAAAAAAAATTGCTTTATCGTTGATGAATACTGATCAAATACGATGAAGGTTGAAATGATTATAAAAGAATTTATTTTAAGTTTTATTCAAGGCCATGATTTTACTGCCCAAATTGAAGAGAATGTTACTTGATGTCGAAGATGTTAAAAAGCTCACAGAAGATAAATTTGAGAAGAACATTGTTGGCATTGGTGTTTAAAGATAGGAGTTAAACTAAATAGCTATGGTGACGGTGATTAGACCATAGATACAAAATGAGTAAAACATTCCTGGAATCAAATTTGAGGATAAAGCTTGATATTTGGAAGACAAATCTCAAAGAGAGAGTAACAGTTATGGGATCTTGCCTCATTTAAATTTTGAATAATATTTTAGGTAGCTTTTTTATTATTCCATATTTCATCTTTAATTAAGCTAATGAAATATGAAATAAATCTAGTTTCAAGTGAGATTGTTTCATTCGTTGGCCAGAAGAGCTAAATCAGTTGGTTTCACCGGTGAAACACCCTGACGGAAGGCAAGTTATGAGAGTATTTGTACCTAAGGCATTCTTAATAAGTCCAATAGCTTGGTTAATACACTAGTTGTTTATCAAATCCTGATGTTTAACTAGGATTAACTTTTCAANAATACGATGAAGGTTGAAATGATTATAAAAGAATTTATTTTAAGTTTTATTCAAGGCCATGATTTTACTGCCCAAATTGAAGAGAATGTTACTTGATGTCGAAGATGTTAAAAAGCTCACAGAAGATAAATTTGAGAAGAACATTGTTGGCATTGGTGTTTAAAGATAGGAGTTAAACTAAATAGCTATGGTGACGGTGATTAGACCATAGATACAAAATGAGTAAAACATTCCTGGAATCAAATTTGAGGATAAAGCTTGATATTTGGAAGACAAATCTCAAAGAGAGAGTAACAGTTATGGGATCTTGCCTCATTTAAATTTTGAATAATATTTTAGGTAGCTTTTTTATTATTCCATATTTCATCTTTAATTAAGCTAATGAAATATGAAATAAATCTAGTTTCAAGTGAGATTGTTTCATTCGTTGGCCAGAAGAGCTAAATCAGTTGGTTTCACCGGTGAAACACCCTGACGGAAGGCAAGTTATGAGAGTATTTGTACCTAAGGCATTCTTAATAAGTCCAATAGCTTGGTTAATACACTAGTTGTTTATCAAATCCTGATGTTTAACTAGGATTAACTTTTCAAGAGAGAGAGAGAGAGAGAGAGAGAGAGAGAGAGAGAGAGAGAGAGAGAGAGAGTAGACATAAGAAACAATTATGCTTAATTATGCAAACAATGGAAGAATCATTGAAGAGTATAACAAGGAATTTAGTTTTGTTGAAAAACTGTAATATAAAACTATAACATGCATAAAAAACACTTCAGTACCAAATTAAATTCACCTGCCAAATTTCCCTCCAGGTCCTAGGTAGAAAAATACTATTGCAAACCCTATCACTCCCTTAATATGCACCTGACTGAAGACTTCTTTGAGAAGCCTTGACAAAATGATACCACTAAAAGCAGGATGCAGCATCCAAATGTTTCTCCTGAACGGTACAATGATCATCACGCAGAAAAAGCAAAATAAAAAGGATGTCCATGTGGACCCCAAAACACAACCATTCAAGTAATTCAATCCAAAAGGTACATCACAGAAGGCTACTCCTATGACTAAAATTAAAAAATTCATCATTTGGAAAAAGGGAAAAAGGAAAACCAGTGAAACGCATTCACTTCTATGCTAGAGATTCAAACCAAAAGGAAGGGGCAAGGATTGAAAGTATTAAACATTGATGCACTGAGACTATTAAAACTCTCCTGGAAACAGAGCAGAGGAAAAGTAACCAAGCTAGAAGAATGCACTCTTTACAAAATGGACTAAATGAAGACAAGAATCACAATTTCTCTTCCATATTACATTCTTTATGTGTACTTTTAGCAGGCACATAAATAAAGACTAAACAGCAAATAAATTATAAATTATATGATAGAAAATATAAATTATTGTTATATATAATATGAAACACCACACCCACCCAGCTGAGAAAAGAAGTGGTAATTGTCATTACCAGCCATAGACGACTCTGTTGCACCTGTCCTTGAGCCACTTAAAACTCTTCCTAAGAGACCCTTTCAGTTTTCCTTCCACAGAATACACCTTGTAGCTGGCGACCCTCTTTTTACGCTGCAACTCGGGGTCACTGAAGCTCCAACTTTTCGATGTGGACCCGTTTGTGGATTTCCCCTTCTTGAACTTGGCATCGTTGATGTTGTTGTTTGTCGTTTGGGTTTGGGTTTGGGTTTGGGTTGGGTGCACGGAAGAGGCGTAGGAGGCGCTGTAGCAGCGGAGATCTTGCATGCCAGTTCCATGGTAGGGCTCAATCTGCATCCTGCCGTCACCGTAGGATTTGGATCTGAAGTCTTCCATCGTCGGTGGAGATTGCGGAGAAAGGGAAGGGTGTTTTTCGCGAACAGGAAGTTAGGCAGACCAGAACATGTTTTCTTTTGTTTTTCACCGATGATTTTTTGCGTTTTCTTAATCAACTACTGTTGGGGGCGCTGACTACTATGCCGTTTTGGCGTCGGTGCTAACTTTTTTATTTGTAATAAAATTAATAAAATAAAAGGGTTTTGGCTTTGGTTTTTTGAGCGTGGATCATGGAGCCAATCGGAACGTGACACGCAATAAATGTCACGTTACAGGCACGCCGTTGAAATTTTGCAGTTGGGTTGCCAAATTGGATCATGTGCTCTTGCTGCTTAATTGTGTACCCTTTTTCCATGCCAATTTATAGCTCCTCATCATTACTTACTTCCCATTAAAGAGTTTGACAAAACAAGTATTTTTCATTCACAGACCCTGTTGTATTTTTCTGCTCAATAACTTATTATTATATATATAACTAACATTTAGTGATCACTTAACCACATTATAAATATGGATTAAATACGTTTTAACTTTCGAAATTACGATAATTCATTGTTAACATAACTATTCCAGTTCGTATTACTCTCATTATGGTAACCAACACCAATTACACATAACAAAATTAATGTTTATTTTATTATCTTATTCTTATATTTGATGTTATCCTATTTTGAACACTAAGTGAGTCTTAAAAACATATTTATTCATTTATACATCAATAATAGCACTTTTTCAATTGAGAAGTTTATATATGCTAGAATCATTAAACTGATTTTCGTCAATAGAAATCAAACAAAAGGGCCCCGGAAGTTTAGTAAAATTTTCTATTACACACAAAGTATTTCTTTTGAACATTCCGGAGATTATTGGTTAAGTTTAACATGCTAACTAATGCAGCTCAAAAAATGCGATATTGAAGGACATTATTCGTCCGTGGAACATGGGAGAGAAGGAAGAAATATATTTAGCAAAAACCATTTACATCTATCTCTCTAGTAAATATCATTTAACAGAAACTAGTTACAGTGTCCCTTGGCAGTTATGAATGCCAGAGCATGACTCTCAAAAATGCATATATTGATACAATTGCCTGAGGGAAGGGGGTAAGTACATAGATGAAGATGAATTAGCCTCGCGAACTGGCATATCACGTGCATATTCATTCAGGGCAGAGTAGCCACTGCCAAGGTAGTATAGATGTAAGTACTCGAAGAAAACAATATTGAGCAACATAACCACATCAAATATACACGCCGAAAACTGAAAAAAACTCGTTAATAATGTAATGCCTAGCTCTGGTCAAGTTTGATTTTCCTATTCATCAAGTCGTGGTAGTAGAGCAGTACACACATAGGTTGTCCAAGGATACTGAATATGAACCAAAAAATCATATTTCCAACCTGGCATGTGGAAGATAACAAATTATCGAACCAACGAATCAAATTCCAGATATGGAGTTTTTAAGACATTATGAATCGATATGCTTATACACATACCATTGAGTTTCTGAATTTATTTTGCAGATGATGAGTGATCAAGACCAAAGGAACCTATAAGAAAAGGTATTCATCATCATGTCAATTGAACCAAAAATATGGATCCAAAACATGGCATGAATTCATTACTCCAGAGAACACTTTCTTTCCGTTGGGCATAAAAAAGCAGGGACTTTTTTATACGCTGGCTTCACCTTTGTCGGGAAGTGTCGGCAAATTTGTGTTAATTTTACTGTCAAATACTTTAGTTTAATAATAGAAGGTCAGCAAACAGCAGAATGATACAGTAACTTGATTTTACCTGAAACATAATTCCACCGAAAGCCCACAATTTGAATATGTGGCAAGGAACAGCAATGCACAGCTGCACTCAGAAGAAAGAGAAATCGTAAGAAAAACTCCACAACTCTGAAAGAAAACGTCGAAAACAAATTACAACACGTGCAAAAAATAATTCATGGATAAAGGAAATAGGAAATATTGGTGCCAAACTTAATACTGTGATAACCCGAGTAGAAACTAGAAAATGTATCAGTCCATTAAATATTCCGTTTGATCCATTTTCAAGATATGCAAATCGCAGTATCTAAGCATGCCAAGGTAAAGGATACAAGGTACTTGAGATTTTGGCAGCTAGATTCCTGAGGCTACATCAGGTTGTAGATAGTTCAAAGACAAGTAATATATTTAACAAAGCAGTCACAGGCCTCGTTTCTAACTTTCAATCGTCTTCCACAAAGTTCCAACAATCGAAAGGGTAGAAACAAAGATACTCCAAGTATAAATTGAAGAAAGTTTCTTTGAGATTTCTATTGTGTAGCATGCAGACAAGCACACAAGCAGAACATCAATTTTGCCATGGTACCAAAAAAAGGAGAGAAGAATGTGCAAATAAATCAACAACACACCTCATGGAATAAAGCAGAAACCAGGAAGGCAATTAAAAGAGCAACGGCCTGTACAATGATGAAAGATCAAATCATAAATATATCCAGAGCTCAAATAAATAAAATACCACTAATGTTTGACAAAAGAGTCAATCCAAATATTGACCAATGAGAAGCAACTATGTTAATAAGATATTTTTTACACCAAAGTCCAAGGGAAAAAATCACAAAAGATATATTAAACATGATTATATTTAATGGAGTTCCTTTGAAATTCTTGTTCATGTGAGTCATCGTTATGCATTCCAGAGTCATTTATCTAAAACAACAGGAACAGTAGATGAAGTTGGATTATTGTCTATCGGTTGACAACTTTCTACTCAGCCCCAAGTGCATCAAACATATCAAACCATAACATTAGTCCATAAAAATATATACATACTTTAAAAGAACTTATGTAATAGACTTATTCACGATTAGAGTAAAACTAAGACGTCCATTTCACTTCAACTATGTTAAATGTGGTATCTTACTGGCGACCTGAGATGGTAAACAAAGGCATATCCTAAAAAGTGATGTAAAGTTTAGACCAAATTAGTTTAGGATCCATCGGTAAAACAGGAGGATGCTTGATTACCTTTGGTATACCATGCCTTAAACACGGGAAATATAGGTGGCGGATCATCCATTTGTGAACAGGCTGCAATGTGAAAGAATCCACTCAATTGTATGCAAATGGTTTAGAATTACATGTGATAAACAATCAACTATATGTTCTGAGATTCAGAACCATTTCTTCAATAACAGATGGTAAAACGCTGTAACTTCCCTTTCTCCCTTCTGTTAAAATAGTCTGAGATGTCAGCCCCTCATTATACAAGAAAGGGAAAGTTAAAGAAAATATACATGTTTGTATGTTGACATGAATTTCATGGTAATAAGAGACATAAAATCATTTTGCAGACAAAAAAGATGTTGATCAAAATTCAATCTGGAAAAGAAACATACCATATTCCACATTCTCCAATACTGATGGAAGCAGCAGAACACCAAAAATACAGAAAGCGAAGAGAATGGGTCAAAAATCTCTTTGATTAAAATTGAGAATAATGTAAGTAAACACCTAATAAGAACAAATAAACTTACATCTTCAACAGTTTTGGCATTCCACCAGTCCTTGTAGAATTCACGATCACCAAATCGAAGAAGCTCTGCCAGTATATTTAACCTACATTGAAACAGTCACTAGAAGGATAAGCTGCCTCAAATATGAACTGAATCTTCAAAAAACAATCATAGCTAACCTTTTCTAATACCTACAACAACGACAAGCAGATCAGCAATTATGCTTGCACAAAAAATGAGCATAAATGAAGAGTAAACTATCCTCATTGGCCACAGGAAATATATACAAACCCAAAAATAAAACTAGGGTCATAAATCCCTTATATCCGTCAGAGTTTCACTTAAATTGACCATTAGTGGCTGACAAAAGGCTATAAAGCTAATTTTAGATCTTAATAAGTTCATATTCCTGACAGCAATAATATCTACATGCAAATCTTTAAATCGGTTAGATCTTACCACTGATGATGCAATAATTACTATTGAGGGTTTTCAGTAAGGTGGATATTACTACCAGGATACTTAGAAAGATTAAATAATTACAGACTTATAACATCATCATCATCAGAAAATTGCCAGAGTACAGAAGTCAAGGCATTAAACTCAAGAAATTAAAACAATTATTCAATTTACGGCAAGTGAAGATAACTTCATATTAATATATTGCAAGAAAAATGCACACATATATGCATGTTGAACAAAATAAGGGATCGTATACCAAAGGTGAAAAAAGCAATAGAACATGCAGAGCCACACATATAAATTTGGAACAGAAAGCTTCAGAACCCTTTCGATGGCATAAAGAAGGTCTCCCTTAAAAGGATGCTGTGAATTCTGTACAATAGGATTAATGTACTGCAAAAGAGCATAATCAACACAACATCAGAATACCAGTAGAAACAACAAAACAGAACTGGAGAAAAAAAAATGCACAAATAAAAAGAGAGAAAATGTAGAAATGAACAAAATTTATTATCCAGTATTGCTTACTTGTTCAATAATAAAACCCATAACTCCTGTAAATATTATCAGCTTGACAACTTGACGAAACACCCAACCCTTTCGAATATAAGGTGTGCGAGGATAGCTTTGCTAAAAAATTAGATCATAAAACAAAATACAAATGTAAATATGTGAGAAACTTTGCTCTCAAGAAAATTAAAAAAGTGCAACACACATGGAGATACATGTGTGCATGAAAAAGCAAAGACAAGTGAACTGTATAAACCTACTTAAAGAGCAACCAAGCAAAATTTTGGCAAATTACGTTAAAATGATGATGCCAAAGCCAATCTACTAATCTCACAAAGTATCAGAAATGTATGGTATACTTTATGCCAGGGAGTCATATAATATCCATTCTCTTCAAAGAGACTTAGCTTTAAATATATTAAAGTGAGAAGCAAGCACTATAATATGCAGATTGACAAACAGAAATCCAACCCCCTCCCCTTTCCTCTCGCGAGGAGCATGAGGAAGACATTGACAGGCACATTGTGTCTAGAAACTAGCAGATTGCAATTGGGAAGTACGTGAGGAATTTTGTACAATTGGAAGTATAGGGAGAGCTAGAGAAAGGATTTTGAGATTGCTGCCATAGATTTTGTAATGCAATATTTGGTGCTACAAAATGTTGGGTTGTCTATAGGCATGACAAAGAAATAGAAAAGAATTCATATGGAAAATCGTATCAAATGATCACACATAAAACTCACTGGATCAATTAATCTTGTTAGGCCAGAACTTAATTCCTTGCTTGTAAATTAGTGGGGATGGTTAGAGCAATTAATTTGATAATATGTTAAAGAGGATTAGTGAGATGATTTTATCTGAGGATTTGCTCTATTTTGAAAGGAGAAACACTTGCCACAGAATTATCCTCTTTTCATTGTCCTCATTCAATTTCAATATTCAGTACAAGAAGCATTCATTTTCTCATGTTCTGTCTCTTGGTTCCCAACAGTATGTCGGGCACCGACTAAAAACCTCAGACATATTCGCAACAAAGACATGTGGGTGAAGTCCACATAGTTGTGCCTCTAAGCAATCTAATAAGAGAAAAATGAATACAAACTGTAAAATAGGTGAATCTAATGAGGCAGCTCCACAACCGTTACCAATAAATCTTACTAAATTACTTGAAAGTACTGCTACCTGGTAACATAATGTAGGAGCAACCATGAAGTATGCCAAGCTCTTGAAGCTCACACTGTAAGGATAGTCCATATTCACAGTATTGGGTACTGCTTCTCCCTGTAACACAGGAAACATGTTTGAATATGTGGGGTAAACAAGTGTGTATATATCACACATTCACACAAGTGAAAAGCTACTCATCCAGATATAAGGAAGTCATAAAAGGGAAAACAGAATTTGAATAAAGATAAAATAAACTGTACTTTAGAATATTATGAAGTTTTAAGAGAACATAATCTGTAAACTACAGCTTAGTCAAGCACAATATTCTTGTTTGAAAACTAGTCATCAAATACATCATAAACATATAGTCCTCTTTAAAGTATACAAATAAGTAGAAATGAAATTTTGTAATCAATATCTACCAACTTATAAGTGGGAACGTTTGTCCTTATTTAGTTATTTAAATTGTCAGGAACGTGTCTTTGATACTATCAAGCAGTTTTAATTTAGTGGTTTAGTCAGTTTCTGTTTCAAGATAGTTCTGATTTTGTTTTCCCATAAACATTAATAAAGAATTCCTAAAATCAAGGAGCAACATCTTTTTTCAGTGTATATACACTGAAATACACAATAAAATATATGCTTCAGCATTTCCCAAATAGAAAAATTCACACTACTTCTCTGCAACTTTTATCTTCCAACATTTTTTTTATCTCAATTAAAAGCCAACAATTGGTACAAGAGTTTTCTTTTTAAGGGACCTGTGAAATGGATACTGAATAATGTTTCTCACATGTTACTCCTCCTATCTTTGTGGGGAGAACTGTGACCTTTGGATTTGTGGGACACTGCAGAAAAGGATTAAGTAAACAATTCTTGGAGTGGGACTTATTTGTTAGGAAATTTCACTTAAATTCAATTGGTTTTAGGATGAAATCTAACTTCATATCAAGGCCTATTTTGGTAGGCTCGCTTGGTTTGGAAAACATATGCAAAGGTGGGGTGTTCGGAAGGCCCTCATTACTCGCCTCCATTGTTGGAATGCAGCTTATAAACTTGCTTACTGCCAATTGGTTGGGTTAAAATTTGACATGGCATCATAGCCTACAGCCCGTCTTGATAAGTCATCTATTGGGAAGTCCCACGCTACCTACTCAATTATTGTAGTGCAAATTTTATATTTATTGGGCAACTTTGATTGAGACCAATTAATTTTAAGATGAAATTTGACACATGCTGCCCAAAAAATCCCACCGTGGCTTTAATAAAGCATCACACGGAGAGAAAAATCAAGGCAAAGTCATGCCTTTTAGTCGATGTTTTCCATACTAGAGTCATAATCCTTAAAGCATCAAACTTAATTTAGGTCTATTGGAAGGAAGAGTACCCAGGAGACGAAAGGATTCAAGAGATGAAAGTGTTGAACTTAATGATGGAATTATTGTTGCAAAGAATGTAATCGTTTGAAACAATTAAGGATTACTCAAACAAATTACTTAGCATTGACAATGAGGATAAATTATTGGGTAATACATTTGGTGATTGCATAACTGTAGAAAAAAGTCTGGTTATAGTGCTAGAGCAATATGAAGTGTCAATAGCTGCTTTGGAAAATACAAAAGGATTTATCCAATATCACTTTGGTCAAAGTATTGCGTGCCTTTCAAGTCCAAGAGATGTAATGGTTAAAGGAAAAGTATCCACCTTGTCAGAACTAAGGCAAAATGGGTCATCAACCATTTAAATGTAGGAGAACAGCTGATGCAACCATTGAGTATAATAAAAAGGGATTTGGACTTAATTATATGCAAAAACACGAAGAACTACCTGGTAAAGTGGAAAAAGCTATTGATCAAGAGGAGGAAAAGTACTTGTTTGCTGCTACATGTTTCGCTAAAATAGAATCAAGTTAGAATTGGCTTCCTGATAGTGGTTCTGCGAACCACATGACAAACAACAAGGATCTATTCAAGGAACTAATAATGCAAGCACGTTAAAAGTTCAGGTTGGAAATGACAATATATTGTCTGAATGGAAAAGAAATTGTAACAACAACAACCTACTCAGTTACAAAGTTAATTTCCGGTACAGTGTATGTTCTTAAAATTGACAGAATTGTTGAGTGTCAGATAACAACTTGAGAAAGGTTAAAAAAGTTTTCTTTGAAAACAAAAGTTGTTTGATTAAAGATTTAGATGACAAATATATTCTCAAAGTAAAACTGGAAGGGAAAAAGCTTTGTTTTAAAACGCATTGATGGAGGAGCAAAATTCTTTTCCAATGAAAGAGAATATCATTGAACTGCAGAGCAAGGGACAAAAATCTGAAGATTAAGCTAATTTCAGAATAAGTCCCAAAGTTGGCAGTGGTGTTACTAAACAAAAAAACTAAAGCTATTGAGCAAAAATGCACAAACAAGCTAATATAGTTGAGTGAAAATGCTCTAAGAAAATTTGTTTGGAGTCTAAAAAAGAAGACAAAATAAAGGAGAAAGCTGCAAAAGTGGAACATGGTGGGAAGTGTTTAAAAGACTCTGATTGAGAACTTATTCAGCAGGTTGAACTTTTGAGGAAGTTAGAAGTTTGCCACCTCCAAGGCAAGGAGGAGTGTTTGGAACTTGCTTCAGATGCTGCCAAAAAGGTTTTTGTTTGAATAAGTCAATTGATAAATTGATAAGAATCTGCCATCATGTTGTTAGTGGTTTAGTAAGTTTCCGTTTTTAAGATATTTTTTTTAACTTTGATTTCCCTTATCAACAATAACTCCTAAAATTAAGGAGAAAGAGTTTTTTAGTGTATTTAATACTGATATGCATGATAAAATATATGCTTCAGCATTATCCATAGAGAAATATTCACATAAATGTTATCATGTTAATAACTTATGTCTTGCATGAACTTATGTTTTGTTTGGTGTATTTTGAACTTATTTAATAGTATTGTGCTACTTGACTTAGTTACTTTGTTATGTCATTTATAGGTATTTAAATATTTTTTATACAAAGTAAACTCTTACAAATTTGAGAATCGAGTTTACAAAGCTTTTCTAGTTTAATAAATCAAGGACGGCTCAAGAGTTCGGAAGGCCTAAAGCAAACTTAAGAAAAATGTCTTTTCAAGTTTTTTATTTTTTTCTGGAGGCCTAAAGTATTAGTACTAAAATAAAATTGAGGCCTTTTTTTTCTTGGAGGCCTAAAACAATTAGTACTAAAAAATTTTGAGACCTTTTTTCTTAGAAGCTTAAAGCAAGGGTTTTACTTGCTTGGGTCTTGAGCCAACCCTGACGTAAACTCTAGAGTTTTACAATGTTACATTAGACCATGTTTGGTCAAGGAAAAATTAGATGAAAGAAAAATCAGAAAGAAAAAACAAAACAATGAAAGAAAACAAAAAAGAGAGAAAAGTTGACTTAGAAAAAAAATAAAATTCTCTCTACCGAGGGTATAATATTACCTTTTCAATTGATTTGGTAAGTTGTCTCATATCATAGTTCGTATGTGCATAAGACACCAATTTTAACCAGACAACGCAAGAAAGTAGCATTAAAGTGACACCCGATAGAAAAGCAGAATCACACCTGCAAAGGAATGTTACAAGTCAGTATAATAATCCATCTGCCCCATCCTTATCCATGAAATGACTAACGCACAACCATGAGAATATTTTATCCCTCAGCAATCATCTTCATTGCTCAATGTTCATATAGCAATCCAATAATAATTAGAAAGGTAATTCAATTTCATCATCAGTGCAGGAGAGTGACAGTGTTTGTAATGTAATGTAACACCATTATCAAGTATCAACTTAAAGTCATATTCTATAACAAAATTCTTTCAAAATGGATGGTGTAACAACAAATGTCATAACAAAAAAGGAGCCAAGACTGCAGACCTAGAATAGATTTTGAAGAATTTATGCCAAATAGCTAAACTAACCTGAGAATTACTAAAATTGGATACAAAACTGAAGCTGAGGTAATGATTATATGAAGTAGAACAACGACCTGCAACATTAAAGTCGATATAATATTCCTGTGTATAGAGATATTGAAGATTATTCGGTTAAGAATAGCACATTACTACTAATCATATACAGTAAATGAAATTTAACAAAAGCTCGCATGGCTTGATCACTTACTGATTCAGGTATACACTTCCGTTGTGCCAACTTCTCCACTAAAAACGCAGTAAAAGGAAATATCACAAGAGAAAGGCTGTAAATGCGCACAATCACATACTGTTACAAAACATTTCAAGAAACAAACCTAAAAATAATTACACAGCACGTAGTTTATCCTCATGAGAAAATTCATGAAGGGCATTACCAACACATGAAAAGGGGCCAGTCACTCAATGAATATGAACTAAACCAAAAGCCAGACTTGATCAAAAAGCCATACTGCAATAAAACACACAATAAGAGAGACAATAAATACCGAACAGTCAAAATTAAGGCCATAAATAGAATAAAGAAAATTGTTGCAGGTGAATGGACAATTAAAGAGGAAAGAGCAAAACCTTCATTAGATTCTCGATGATGAGTCTGCTATTTACTGCAACAAGTACTACGATACAGAGGTTGAAGAGGCCCGCATGACTCTGCAGCTGATTGAATAATTAGTAAACAAATACAATTACAGAGTAGGTAAGAAAAATCCCTGATCCACCAAATGTATTAAATTCAAATCATAAATTGATACCAACTAGTTTCTGGTACAGATAAATGAATCAATCAAACTCCCACTATCAGTTTCATAAACTATTTAAAACACCTCAAAGACGCTCTCATTCATGACCGTGTTTTTTATTTCTTTGAGTTGTTATATATGCCCAACGGGAGCAAAACAGCAAGGTTCTGTTCATTTTCAATTAGCTTCGGAGTTTAAGCATCGTTAACAACGAGTTGACGGCCAAAACCTGATGGAAAATGCTGTCGGAACTGAGAGGACTTTCCTTGACTTTACGGTGAGCGGGGACCGAAGGCCGGTAAGCGAAGTCGAGGACGGAGGTTTTATCCTCATGCTTTTGCGGTGGTTGTGAATAGCCGACCCCGCTGTCCACGGTGTCCATGAAGTCATCGGAACCGGAATCCTTGACCAAGTCTTCGCCGGAGCTGTCGGTGGACTCCGGCGAATTGTAGAGACCACCAGCGGAGGTGGCGGTGGGCCTCCGGCGCACGGTAGAATGCTCGATAGCAGTGGCTATGGTCTCAGGCTGATCAGCAATCGCCATTGAAGAAGAAAAAGAGAGTGGGATTACTTCCTCAGTCTTCTCGAGAAAGAAACAGGTTTCCCGTCTATTGTTTTAATAATAATTAAAATTAAAATCTGAAGAGAAGAAACAAAATTTCCTCCTATATATAAGGGTTTACCACTCATTGACCGGTATCAATATGAAATTTTCCCAAATTAATATTGATTCGTTTGTGATAATAATATATTAAACTATCTTAGTAAATTAAAATAACATCTTTAAATTAATATATTTTCAGATATCCTTTCATGTGTGTTATACAGATTAAAATACCAGTATACGTGTGAATATTTTTAAATATATAAATTATATTTTAATTATCAATTATATAGATATTTTGAGCATACATTAAATTTTAATTAAATTTATTAAAATATTGAAATTGACTTAGAAAGAAAGTTTTAAAAAGGAATATATGAGGGCAGTGGTGATGGTGATGTTTGTTGGGTTATGATTAGATAAAGATAGAAAGGAATATGGTTATTCCCATAAATCTCTGAAAGAGGTGGTGAGACATGCTAATGTGAGAGATGCTAATTTATGACAAAAAGAAAGATTCTTTCCTTAAGAAACTTTTCATTGAAAAAATAATATTTTTTTCTTTAAGAAAATTATGATTTTATAAAATTTTATTAATAATAAACCTAAAATATATATCTTTATATATTTTGTCATTTAGAGTATGAGACCAATTTCTCGCTTTTTTCTATGGTGGAAAAACAAAACAGAATATGAAAGTACGACGAGTTCTTAAGGTTTTTTCCTACAACTTTTAAGATATGGAAAAAAATAAAAAATATTTTTGTTCTACTTTCTTTCTATTACGTTTCTATATAAATAAGATTTTAGATTTGACTTAACATAAAATTCACATGCTTTGATATCTTAACAAAACTTGCAAGCTAAAATAAAAAGTAGTTCGTTGAAATAATGAGTAATTCTTTAATATTATTTACTTCTTAACATATATAGGACTCGTGAAATATTAAAGGAAATAATATTTGGAAAGGCTAATTTAATGATTTAAATGTGGGAGACAAAAAAGATATCATAATGTATAGCTTTAAGTTCAATTTTTAAATTGCTACTGTCTATTTTCTTTAACACATCTTTATCTCCATCTTTTCTTTCATCTCTTTTTTTTTCCTTTTTGAGAATAATCTAGAGTAATTTTTATCCGTATAGCATATTTTGATTTAAATTTTACTAGAATAATATATGGTGTCAATTATTTATATAAATAATATAAATTATTTTTATATCAAAATTTGGTTCATGAGAAAATAAATTTTGAATTGTATTAATTTTTATAACTTTTTTCAAAATCTCTATATTTCTTTAACGAAAAATAAAAAATAAGTTCATATTTATTTTTCAATTAGTTTTTTTTTAATTATAGTTTAGACTTCGATTTTCCAAAATATTTAACACGCTATGTTATTTAAATACGTTTAGACTCATGTGTTGTTTAAGTGAAAAAAAATCATCTTTCTTTTATTTACATATATTTTATGCAAAATTTTATTATAATACAGACATCTTTAATATTCTCTTCAAACATAAAATATTTTAAAAAAAGTTAATAATAAATAATTTTTAATAAATTCAACAATTTATTTTAGAATAAATATTAATAAAATATCTTAAAAATATATTATAAATTTAATTTAACCTTTATAAAATAAAATTTATATTTATATGTTATAATTCAATTATAGTGTGTCTCGTATAAAAATATTTTAAATTGGTCGAGAATTGTTATAAAAGTTATATATATATATATATATATATATATATATATACACACGCGGCTAAAGAAGATATAAATATAAAGTGTTACTATAAGGTTAGATGACTGGATGCAAAGTTGAAAAGGCTAGCCGATCAGTCCTGACAACAACTGACAATAATTAATGTGCAATTAATATTACAACGAATATTGATAAGTAGTTAAGGTTTGCATTAATTACCATTAAAAAGTAAATTAATTAATCAGATTCTTCTAAACTCTATAAATAAGGATTTAATTTCGAGATAAACTTACTTTTTTACTCACTATTAAATACAAAAGGCCTACATAGAAATATTCTTGAAGCAAGAGACCAAGAAAATGATCAGCACAAAACAACTTACAGAGACGATTATTCTCATCTATATCAGCATGCATGAACATAAAGTATAATAAACAATAGAGTAAAGGTAAAGATAAACACAAATATTTATAAAACATTATTATATACAACTGTGCATGATGTGTTGTAATTTTGAGAGCAAAACTGCATGCTTAAAAATTCATTAAGTCTAAAATAATTAATCTTTTGTGATTTGATGTTTGAGATTGGAATATATTTTGTATTCTTCATTTCATAATTATCCTTTGAAATTGAATATTGAAAAGTTGTGTATCCATTCATAGAAGGAATTATCCTCTTTCACATGACAAGCAAAATAAGCATTAAAAATGAGAAAAGGAAAGCTAAGAAAAAGCGACGAGTGCAATATCTTTGGCTTCCGATCACCATCTCCATCCATGGAAATTCAATCAACATAACAACCCTCTTGATTGGGAAAGAAAAGAAAAGAATGGTAAGTAGAAGTCTACAGCAATGCTATAAATGACCACTCTATTTTACTAAAATCAGATTTTGATATATATATATATATATATATATATATATATATGTATATATATATATATATATATATATATATATATATATATATATATTATTAAATATAGAAAAAACATAAAATGAAAACTAGTTGTGATACTATTGCTACTTTAAAGAGATTTATACTTCATAATCCCACCTTTAATTGGGTGAAAAGATATGCAGGAAGAAAATAAAATAAAACTTACCCTAAGGTTGAGGTTGGTCTTAATATTAGTTTTTTTCTATAATTAAGAAAAACTAATTTTACATTTTCTTCATAAATTGTTCTACAAACTCATTGAAATAAATTAATACTTATTTTAGAGTACGAATTCATTTATTAAACACGTTTTATTTTTTATAATTTGGGTTGATTTATTGATTCTTTAACTTGTTTTTTTTTTCATGCTTCTAAAAATATTTATGATAAATATTAGTGTAAACTTTGACATCTCGAAGTGTATTGTATTTCAAAATTATAAATAATTTGTCATCATGTAAAATTTTATTAAAATAAAAAAATATAAAGCATGATGATTACATAAAATAATAAATAAATTAAGGTAAACATTAAATTACTTATATTATTGTTTATTAATAAAATTCTAAATTAATTAACTAATTTGTTAGTATAATGATTTTTTTCCTGATAAAACATGATAAGTTTAGGAAAATAAAAACATTAACATCATTCTCATTTAACTCTCCAAAAAAATATTTTCTAATCCAAAAAAAAACATTATAAATTAAAATAAAATCACACTCTAAACAAAGTTTTTAAAATCGGTCATTAAAAATTATTATAATTAAAAATTATTATAAAGCATAAATGATTCCTTAAATTTAGTATAAGTACAAATCCACATATCTACAAAAATTTAAAAATATGACATATTTATCTCGACTTCTTCTAAAAAATATAATACATACATCTAAACCAGATAATCTCTAACTACATTATCCGACTTCAACTATCTTAATTAAAGTTCAAATAATGAGAAGCAAGTAGATTTGCAAGAACAGAGAACTTTACACAACTTCTAAATAATTGTTATAAAGTTAATTTCTCTTACCTATCTACTCATTATAAAACAAGGTAATTTCACTCTAATTGTACCTAAGATTAGAAGAACAGAGATGAAATTTGAATGCGAAGACTATTAATAAATGGGGCTCCATAAAATTCCTTGTAGGATGATGTATTTGAGCATAATTCTGTTTCTTAAATTGTTGTGATTTTGTGTAATTTTTTATACAAGACATTAAATTGTATTATGTCATTATATAAAAAATAAATAATTATTATCTTAACAAAATTAATTATATACTTAAAATAATTTATTCATTCCGTATTTAAACAATTTTTTAAAATATAAATTTAGATAAAAAAATAATTTTTAAGTACAATTTAAATTAAATTACTGAATAAAATATTAATACAAATATTTTTTGTCTTTTTATAAAAAAATTTAAAAAATTTGCATCAAAATATAAATTTAAAAAAATACAAAATAACTTCAATTTATTGGATTTAAATAAAAAATAGAAACATACGAAGCCAGATTTTAAATAATTATTCGATAATTAATATATTTTTAATAATAAATTTATTTTGATAAATTGAATTTGAAAAAAATATTCAAATAAAATTCGCGAATAATTTTTAATTGATAGTGGGTATCATCATTGGTTCAAATATCATAATACTTGCACTTGCACTCACCCATTAAAAGACAAATAATTAAATACTTGTACCCGTACCCCTTACTCATAAATATTTTTAAAAATATTTATTTAACATGCGTTACAAATTGTAGCCATATATATATATGTCCACAAGATTTCTTTTCACCCTTACACACAAACTAATAATAAACTAATGTAATGATAATAACGACACAGATAAATGAATACTTAGCCGTTTAATAAATTAAATTATAATAACATGCTAACAAATTAACCGGAAATTAATTATTTGTAATTATGTGATTTTTCAAAAAACAAATTGATTTACTTCTCTGTAGGTTTATTTTAAAGTGAATTTTGTCTAATTGCATTACTTGTTTCTCCATTTCTATTTCTTATATAACTTTATTTTCAAATAAATAAATAAATAATATTTTCAAGTTCATTCAAAAGCTTATAAATTACACAATTACATAATCTTTGTTAAGCAAACTCTTAATATCTCTCCATTTGAAGATTAAAGAATATAAAAATAGATTTTTTGCAACAATAACTAAACTTCCATTTTTTTGTATAGTTATAACATTGTAAGAAGCATAAACAATTTATTTAACAAATTTATACATTTATAAGTAAAAGAATTATTTAATATATTTATAAGTAACTAAATTATATATTTTCCTCCTGAATTTATAACATTTTTTATTATAAACTAAATGCATAAAATAAATTCTCCGAGTAGTTAAACTTGTATGAATTTATACTTTGATCGACTTAAGTGTTTGGAAATTATTTAATAGCTTTTAAGGGTATTAAATTTATCTAAAAAAATCTAAAAAGAAAAGAATGGATGTGTCTGTCTTGTTCTACTTGTGCAACTAATTCAATCCCCAGTGGCAGTGATGATAATACAAATACATTGTGAGCTTAGGAAACTGAAATCCAAAGTTTTCAAAACGGGGGAAGCATGTAAAAGGATTATGGTTTCACACTAACACACGTCTAGTTTTGGCAATAGCCAGGTCAAAGTCAAAATCTTCTTAAAGCAAGTCCTAATTCCTATAAGTATGTGGAGAATTTCATGCAACTCGGAATCCAAGTGGTTTAGTTGCATAAGAAACAAACCTTGCTTCCTTTGGTCAAATTTGAAGAAACTACGCTTACAATTCAACCAAGTCTCTTTGTAATCCTTGCCATTAAGATTTCCCTCTCCTTTCAAGCTAAGTTTAATACACCTACGATTCAACCAAGTATCATCGTTATCCTTGCCATAAAGTGTCAACAACGCGACTTGTATGATAAATAGGAGGTTCATTCACTTACCTAAACTTTTAGGCACTTTTATAATTTTGTTTTCAAATATATTGTGTATATGAAGAATAGGTGTGAAAAGAAACCTAGTGTAAAGAGACGTGCAAGTTAATACTATCGTACTAGGTTGCAAACTAATGAAATAAAACACTTCTGGAAAATCTTATTAAAAAAGACAAGGAAAAAAAATTATATAT